CCTTATAAAAGATTCCAGCAAAGCCAAAGAATCTAAATAACTAATAATTCTTACTGCGCTTTATGCAAATAATCAGTATACTGAAGGTACAGGTTATTTTGGCAACTGAGTTGGTTCTACTGTAATTTATCTTTAGTAAAGAGAGAAATTGGAGAGAGAAAAAAAAAATTCAAAAAAAAAAAAAAAAGAGGCTGTGGCCCACCTGTATTAGATCCCAGCTTATCTGTACTGCCAACTCATAAAATGAGTCATTGAATTGTTAAATGGGACTAAAAGACTGGCCAAAGAGTGTGGTGTGAGTGTGAGTCTCAGAAGGGAAACTTGGGTAAAAATGAGGAACAAGCAAGGGATGTCTGCCCCACTGACTACTATGTCAAAGCACTTTAAAAAGGGATTTGTAAGTGACTATGACACCAGGAAAGCTAGGAAGTCTTTGTGAGCAGGAATGGCCTCCCTTTGGGATTGGATGGCCATCGGAGAGAAGTTTAGAAAAATCCCTAGTGTCTGAGGTATGGCACAAAGTTACTGGAAAGAAGATTCACTCTGAGCAGATTCCGTATCTACCTGGCTACAGCTAGTAGTGAGCCAACCACCTTGGTTGAGAAGACAGGTCGCAACAGTGCTAGTAACACAGGGACAGGAAGGGAAAGTGCTTGCCACCTGACCTAGAAAAGTGGTGCTGAAGATATTGGTGGATCTGGTACTGAGAGACATTGCTGCAGAGACTGAGAAAGGGACACAGAAAACTACCAATTTGGCTTGAGTAAATGAGGTCCTCCAAGGAAAGACTGAGAGTCCAGGCCAGTTCTATGAGAGGTTATGTGAAGCGTTTCAGATGTACATTCCCTTTGACTCTGAGAGCCCTGAGAATCAGAGAATAATTAATATGGCCCTAGTTAGCCAAAGCGCTGAGGATATATGGCAAAAACTGCAGAAGCAGGAAAGGTTTGCAGGTATAAACACCTTGCAACTCCTCAAAATAACACAAAAGGTTTTTATAAATCGGGAAGCAGTAAGCCATAGAAAAGAGGACAGGTGCATGAAGCGAAGGGCCAATCTCAGCTGCGGCTCTGAAAGGCACAAGGGGAGGACCCCCTACCTTTCAAAGAGGACAAGGTCAAGGAGTATGAGGAAATAGGGGACCTAGTGTAAAAGCCACCCCCCCCCCCTTGCAAAGGGATCAGTATACAACTGGCCAAGAGACAGGGCATTGGAAGAATAAGTGTCCCCAGAGGCAAGGAAGTATGAAAAATCCTGGGAAAGAAGTCACAGAACCAGAAGAGCAAGGAGCCCTCTATAACTTAGTAAGAGAGGCCTGGCTAGACTGAAGGGGACCAGACTCAGCCACCCCTGGAAAATTCATGGTCTGAATAAGAATTGGGGGCAAGGACATTGACTTTCTAATTAATACTGGGGGTGAACACTTGGTAGTCACCCAGCCAGTAACCCCTCTCTCTGACCACAGGATTGACACAGGAGCAACAGAACTACTGCTGAACAAGCCTTTTGTCTCCCTCAGAAGTGTTCCATAAGAGGCCACGAGGAAATATGCAGCTACAACTGTCCAAACCAGATCTGATGTCAGCCTTGGGAGTAGAGGCTGTTTGTGACTCAGCCAGGGGAAGGACTGAGACCTGAACTGGCCCAGCGGTGACCGCAGGTCTGAAAAAAAAATAACTCCCCAGGACTGTCCTCAAGATACAGACTGCCTATTGTGACATCTAGAGATATATGGCTATAAAGTTTAAACGAAAGACTCAGATCTGCCAGTGGCAAGTACCTTATCTAAGATTTGTTACCCAGCAGGGAGAGAGGAATCTAAGCAGGGAGAGGTGGCAAGTCATTAGTTGCCTCCCCACCTCCACAAGCCGAAGGCAAGTTTGGGAATTCCTAGGTGCATTCAGTTTCTGTCATCTTTGAATCCCCAACTTTGCCATCTTGGCTAGACCTCTGTATGAGGCAACTAAAGGAGAGGAAGGAAAGCCCTTAGAGTGAAGAAAAGAACAGGAACGTACCCTCTCCCAGCTAAAGATGAGGCAATAACTGCCCCTGCACTGGGATTGCCAGGCCTAACCAAGCCCTTCACTCTATATGTCTCAGAGAAAGAGAAGATGGCTGCGGGTATGTTAACCCAGCTGGTTGGGTCCTGGCCAAGGCCTGTAGCCTACCTCTCTAAGCAGTTAAATGGAGTGGCAAAAGAATGGCCACCCTGCTTAGGGGCTGTAGCCACTATTGCTCTCCTCATACAAGAAGCCGATAAACTGACTCTAAGACAGGATCTCAGAGTAAAAGTACCCCACTCTGTGGTCACTTTAATGGACACTAAAGGACATTTTTTTTGACCCAGCCACACTTCTTCCAACCAATGGAAGAAAGACTGAGCATGACCGTGTAAAATTCATAAATAATATGTACCCTAGCAGACCTGACTTGTGTGACCAGCCTTGGACAGATGCAGACTGAGACTTGTATGTTGATGGAAGCAGTTATATGACGGCGCAAGCCCTGGAAAAAGCCATCAGTCACTGATGTGTCATCTGCAGCCAGTTCAATGCCTGCCAAGAACCAACGGTACCCCCAGGAATCCAGTCATATGGAGCAATGCCCTTCAAGAACTTTCCGAAGGGTAGACTTCACTGAAATGCCCAGATGTAGGGGAAACAAGTACTTGCTGGTGATGATGTGCGCCTACTCCAAATAAGTAGAAGCATATCCTGCCCGCACCGAGAAGGCATAAGAAGCCACCTGGGCACTCTTAAGAGACAGTATACCACAGTTTAGGCTCCCACTGAGGATTGGGTCAGACAACAGGCCAACATTCATCTCCAAATTAATCCAGCAGATGGCTAACATCCTGGCATCACCTGGAAACCCTACACAACCTACCGCCCACAAAGTTCGGGGAAAATGGAATGCGTGTATAAAGCTATCAAAGCAAGTTTAGAGAAAGTGTGCCAGGAGACAAACTTACAATAGGTAAGTGCCCTGCCCTTAGTGTTACTAAGAGGACAGGATTCTCACCGTATAAGATCTTCTATCATAGGCCACCACCTGGAGCTTGCCAAAATCCCCCTGAGAATTAGGAAAAATAGAATTAAAGAAGCAGTTACAGGCACTAGGAAAGATAGCAGAGACAGTGTCAGGAATAAGTAAATGAAAGGTGTCCTGTTAGTCTGTTTTCCCTTGTCCACCCTTTCTCTCCAGGAGCTGCGGTATAAGTCAAGAATTAAAGCATGTCTCCCCTGAGGGTGAAATGCAAAGGCCCTTACAACGTTATCCTGACCACACCTACAGCTGTGAGAGTAGCAGAAATTCCTGCCCGTATCCATTACAGCAGAGTAAAGCCTGCCATGGAACCGGAGGAAAACCTGCCCCTGCCTAAGAGAAGCCGGACCGAGCAGGACGTGAACAATGGTGACTCCATTTTGGTCCAGAGACACCGTTCAGAGACACTGGAACCAAGGTGGAAAGGTCCATACTTGGTGCTCCTCACCACCCCAACTGCTGTGAAGGTAGACGGCCTCGATGCGTGGATCCACTCCTCCCACGTCTGCCCATTCCCAGTGCCACGAGCCGCCCAGGCACAGACTTGGACTCCCGTTAAAGACCCCGTCAACTCCCTCTGCATCAAGATAAGAAAACAGAACTAACATGGAGGCTTGGATGGTTAGAGGGGTTCTAACTATCCTGTTAAATGTATATAGTACTATTCCCAGCCCCTACACTCCTCTAAATACAACCTGGCAGGTACTCCTGCCTGATACCGGGAAAATCCTATACCAGACTTCCGGAGTCTATCCTAAAAGAACTTGGTTCCCAGACCTCTATTTTGATTTGGAAGACTCGTTTAAACTTCAACTATGGTATAGACCAGACTTGTCAGATACCTTCTATGTGTGCCCAGGGCACCTCCCAGACAAATGTAGGGGAGCAGGCTCCTTTTTCTGTAAGGACTGAAGTTGTGTCACCGCAGGTCAAACCTGGTGAAAACCAACACGGGGAAATGATCTAATCACTGTAAAAAAAATTCCACCTGTCCAAGTACCTGCCTCTCTAAAAATCCAAAATATGACATTATCCGCATTAGCTGCACAGAAAGGGGTAAAAATATACAAGGGGGATGGGAAATAGGGAAAGACTGGGAAATGCAGCTTTACTTAAAATTGAATTCAGACCCAGAGTTTGCCAAAAGCCCACGATTGGGCTCCTCTATGTTCAAAACAGAAGGGGGAATGTGGGAGCCAAACTAATTAAGTCACAAGTCAAACTACCTCCTTTTGCTGTTTATTCAGAACAACAGGCCACTGCATACCAAGGACCTTATCATACCTAGGTGTTACAGCCCAAATCCTGACCCCCTCCCCTTGTCCCACTAGCCCCCTTGTGCACTCAGCCCACATCCTGACCCCCTCCCCTTTTTGCACTCACCACTCTACTCTGCATTGCCCCTCTTGCGACCTCTACCCCTTCCTTCTCATTTGCTCACCTGAGACAAAGAAGACTTGTCCCTGAGTCAATCAACCCTGAACACGACCACCCTGTACCTGTCAGTTTAGGACAGACATGGTTTACCTACCAATAAGGGGATGGGGTGGGATGGTCTAATGGGAGGGAAGAGGGAGAGGTATAAAGAGACTTTCTAGATAGTCTGTAAGGGCTGTTCCCGCTTTTTCTTAAAGGGCAGCCCAAGCTCTGAACTTGAATGAATAAAATTCCTAGTGCCTTTGCAGCGATGTTCGGACTCTCAGAGTGGTGCTTGAATTGAGTCTGGGGGTTAACATCCCAAGGAGTCTGTATTTCTGAGACATTTAGGAGTTGCTTGGTTAGAGGAGGGACCAGGGTATGAGCAACATCTCTCTCTGGGGTGTAAGGCGCTCAAACCAGCACACTACAAGGCTGCGTCCCCTCCCACCAGTGGAGGTGCTCCGGAGCTGGGCAGTCCGCGGGCCAGTGGGAGCAGCTTGCTGCCCTCCAGGTCCGCAGAGGGCGCCGACTACCCCTGGGGGAGGGTTGGAGGGTGTGGCGAGGCGGTTCAGCCTGGACAGGCGAACTCTTATGAGGATCCAACACTCAGGTAAAGCCGGACCACGCGCTGGAGCAGGGAGAATGAAGCTTGCCATCTGTACCCTGTTGTACGCCGGGACTCTGGGTGAGTGGGAGCCAGGTGGGGGCCGGCGATCCTGGGTGCTCGGGGAGGGGACACAGTGCCAGCAAGGGAGTCAGCCACAGCTGGACTCTGCACGGCAGACCAGACGGACCCGCGGCAGCCCTAAAAGGCCTCCTACTTGCGCGCACCTGACCCTTTGGTGCCGCAGAAACCACGCAGAGCAGAGGAGGGGTTTGCAAATAATGACCAGCCAGCCAAATCCGGCCTGCCGCCTGATACTGTACAGCTAGAAGAGTTAAGAACTCTTTTTACATCTTTAAATGATTGAGGAGAAAGTCGAAAGAACAGTACTTTGTGACACGAAAACTATATGAAATTCAAATTTGTGTCCACAAATAAAATTTTATTAGAACACAATTCAGTTAGGTCTACGGCTTCTTTCAGGCTCATTGAGGTCAAATACAATATAGAGAGGAACCTGTACGTTTAAAAAAATTATTTAAAGAAAAATTTTGTTTGAGAATAAGAATTATAATTCTGGGCACACACACACACAGACCAGGTAGTCTCCAGTATGTGCCAATAACAAATGGAAGGTTGGAGGTTTTATTTAAAAAAAAAAGGAGTAACATTATATATTGTTCTTCAAGAATGGTCACCGGACACTGGACACGGTCTGGGGCACCCGCTGCTGCTGCTGTCGCTATAGCCTATTACAAAGCCTCAGACTCAAAGCTTGAGCAGTTCTGGAGATACTTGGAGAAGTCTGGGGTGCTAGACACGCTGAACAAAGTGTTGGTAGCCTTATACCAGAGAAACCTAATAGTGCTTTGGATTATTTTTTTTTTTTGAGACAAAGCCTCAAGCTGTTGCCCTGGGTAGAGTGCTATGGCATCACAGCTCACAGCAACCTCCAACTCCTGGGCTCAAACAATTCTCCGATCTTTGCCTCCCAAGTAGCTGGGACTACAGGCGCCCGCCATAACTCCCAGCTATTTTTTGGTTGCAGCCGTCATTGTTGTTTGGCGGGCCTGGGCTGGATTGGAACTCACCAGCTCAGGTGTTTGTGGCTGGTGCCTTAGCTGCTTGAGCCACAGGCGCAGAGCCAGTGCTTTGGATTTTTTTAAAGCATCACTTAGGATGCTGCTACCATAGAAAATCCAGAAATAGAGCTGCTTCGTCTAGAATTGGCAGAAATGAAAGATTTTCAGTCAAATTTTCTTCTATAATGAAGGTATTGTAGAAGAAAATAAAAAACAGAGCAAAGCTTGCTCCGTATGAACCTCTTCCGGAGGAGAAGCGTGCTGAATGGGATTCTTCTCAGTTGAAAAGACACCGAAAAATGGTTTTGTATGACTTGCATAGTTCATATAGTATCTTTTCTGAAGAGATGCTACAGAACTCTTTTAATATGTTAAATTCACCTATCACACTTTGTTATCAACCCATATACTTAGAATCACCAATAAAAACTCAATATAAAAAAAAGAACGGTTATTGGCACTAGTAAAGATTTGAGGAGTTGGCAAGCTGTGGCAGGTCTAGGGGGCTAGTCTTAGAACCATACCACTTTTCAGTAGGTATCGTATAAAACTGGTCTCAGGTTACAGCAGGCAGGCTTGCAGGGAATTATTGCTCTTGGAGCAATGTCGTGTGCCCTGAGTGCTTTCTCTCCTGGGCTCTCAACTCTGTTTTAGTTGGGTGTGACAAAAATGACCCAGTTCATGTGTTCAGTTTTTATAGGCTTCAAGGATAGAGTTGAGTAGCAGCCACAGAAACTGTGTGGCAAACAAAATCTAAACTACTCTTTAGCCCACGACAGAGTAAGTTCATAACCCCTGGCCTACAGGGTTTGGATCCCATTTACAGTGAAGGAAACAGAGTCAGAAAAGAGAAGTGATTCTTCCCAGGGTTAAGGGCTGGTAGTAAGAGGAAGGTGGGGGGGGGGGTAGGGTGTCTGACATCTAACTAGAAGGGTTTTTCTTGCCCTGAACTGTACAGTGCCCCCCACCTCTATTATACAACAGGGAGGTTGGGGGATATAGGGGAATAATAATTACCGGAGAATGGGATCCACCTGTCACTCACTGCTGTGTGACTCTGCACTGTCCCTTGACCTCTCTGAGTTGGTTCCGTTCAGTAGGAATTGACTTTTCACAACAGTCACTGTGAAAACGAGATGACACATGTACACCTAGTGGTGGGCAGAGTTCTAGGCACAGGTGAGTTACTGCTGGTAAAAATCCTGCATGTGGATTCAGGGGACCCCTTCCTGTGTTGGGAGGGTGGCTTCTCCAAGGCCCTTGGCTGGGTAACCGTGAGGAAGGTAACAGCACCCAGTTAATGAACTCAAGCATGTGAGAAGTCCTCCCTGGCTCTACAGTTGATTCTGTGCAGCCCTGGTTAGGTCATGTCTCAAACTGACATAAATAATTTTGGGGCTCAGTCTGTGGCTCAAGTGACTAAGGCGCCAGCCACGTACACCCAAGGTGGCGGGTTCAAATCCAGCCCGGGCCCACCAAATAACAATGATGGCTGCAACCAAAAATTAGCCAGGTGTTGTGGCGGGCCCTATGGTCCCAATTACTTGGGAGGCTGAGGCAGGAGACTCGCTTGAGCCCAGGAGTTGGAGGTTGCTGTGAGCTGTGATGCCACAGCACTCTACCCAGGGGGACAGCTGGAGGCTCCTGTCTCAAAAAATAATAATAATAATAATTTTGGGGTAGGGTATCTTAATGGAGTGAGAGGGTAACCAGGGAAGGGCAGAGGGAGGAGACACAGAAAGGGAAGAGAATGCTGTGGAGGCCCCTCCTTGGCCCTGCATTGCCACATGGGGCCTCACAGGGAGCTCTATGGGGGCTAGGGAAGTCTGGAAAGGTTGGGCACAGTTGTGGTCCAGCTTTGGTCACAAGGAGGCCCAGAGTGCAGCCCCTCTGGGCTCTTTCCAAATTTCTTTCTGAATGGGGCTTGTGGTGTTTGTTCTTCCTCTGTCTCCTCTCCTGGCAATGTCAAGGGCTGACCAAAAGTCCATTTTCCCAATTGGCTCTGTGTTTACAAACCAAAGGCAAGAGAGGCCCCTCTCAGCCCCCTCCCCCCGTCCCTCCCTCTTGGCTGCTGGAACAGGCTGAACTCCATGTTCTAGTCTAACAATAACTCTTTTGGTGGCAGATGACAGAAACGCAAACAAGGTAGCTTAAACCAAAAAGACCAAGTTATTGGTCTTAGTTATTGGTAAGCCTTGCGAGAGCCAGAACAAAAAGCTCAACAGCCTGTATCTCCACCTTGGCCCCCACTTCGTTCCCGGCCTTTTGTTTCTCTAGGGCTTAAGAATGTTCTCTGTTCAGTGAGCACCAGCAGCTTTCCTCTTCTAGGATCAGTTTGGAATATTCACAGTAGGCTCTGACTGCCTCTTCCTGAACTTGTCATATGGCCAGGGGTGGAGAGTTATTCATGACTGACCTAGTCTAGGCTACTTGGCTCCATCTACCCTAAGCTTGCTTGCACACACTCTTTCTTTTAAAATCCTTTCTAGTGAAGTGTGATTTATAGATAGTATAGGGCAGCACACCTATTTTAAGTAACTATCCATGTAACTACCACCAAAATCAAGATAAAGAACATTTTTATCACTCCTAAACTGCCTCTACCTCTTCTCAGCCATTCCCACTTTTGGCCACTATAGATAAGTTTTGCCTTTTCATTTTTTTTTTTTTTTTTTGAGACAGAGCCTCAAGCTGTCCCCCTGGGTAGACTGCCGTGGCTTCACAGCTCACAGCAACCTCCAACTCCTGGGCTCAAGCGAGTCTCCTGCCTCCGCCTCCCAAGTAGCTGGGACCGCGGGTGCCCGCCACAACGCCCGGCTATTTTTTGGTTGCAGCCGTCATTGTTGCCTGGCAGGTCCGGGCTGGATTTGAACCTGCCACCTTAGGTGTATGTAGCTGGCGCCTCAGCCACTTGAGCCACAGGCGCCGAGCCAAGTTTTGCCTTTTCTAGGATTTCACAGGACATAGTGTTTTGTGTTTGTCTTTTTCCACTCTGCACAATTGTTCTGAGAGTCATCCACATTGTCAGACGACTTTTTGAAACCAGTGAAATAAATAGGCACTGAATTTAATGCCCCAGCAATTAATGGGAGATAAGGTTAGTGTAGCCAACATTAAGATAAAACTAATTCACTGGGTCTAAAGCTTGCTACCAATGGGTGGGAAATTTTTCTTTTATGAGGTGAGATTCACATAAAACAAATTAACCATTTTAAAGTGGGTAATTCAGTGGCATTCAGTACATTCACAGTGTTGTACAATCACCACTTCTATCTAGTTGCAAGATATTTTCATCCGCCTAAAAGGCACTGTAGCTGTTATGTGGTCAGTACCCATTTCCTTCTCCCCCAGCACATAGCAACTGCCAATTAATTTGCTTTCTGTCTATATAAGATTTACCCCGTCTCAGTATTTCAGATTAAGGGAATCGTACGGTGAGTGGCATTTGTTGTTGTTTACAGAGTCTCACTATGTTGCCCTTAGTAGAGGGCTGTGGTGTCACAGCTCATGACAACCTCCAACTCCTGGGCTTGCGTGATTCTCTTGCCCCAGCCTCATGAGTAGCTGGGACTACAGGTGCCCACCACAACATCCGGCTATTTTTTGTTGCAGTTGTCATTGTTGTTTAGCTGGCCCAGGCTGGGTTGGAACCCGCCATCAGTGTATGTGGCTGGCGCTGTAACCACTGTGCTATGGGTGCTGAGCTGTAAGTGGCCTTTGTGTTTGGCTTCTTTCACTTAACTTGAGAAGTGATTCATTCAAGATTCATTCACTTTGCAGCATACAGCAGTACTTCATTCTTTTTATGACAGGATAATATTCTGTTGTACCAATGACCACAATTTTGTTTATCCATTCGTCTGTTGATGTGTATTTGGGTTGTTTCCTCCTTTTAGCTATTGGGACCAGCGCTGCTAGAATCATTCTTGTGCATATATTTGTTCGAGTCCCCATTTTTGATTATTTTGATTATATACCTGGGAGTGAAATGTCTTGCTTTATGCTAATTCTACCTATGTTTAAGTCTGGGGGATGCTTTTGGCTTTCTTATCCAAAGGGTAGGGCAGAATCAAAGAAATGGGCAATGAGGATTTATGTGAGCCAGGCAACCAATCCAATTTGTGTGTATCCCACTTAGCTGACCTTTTATCTTATTTTTAACCTCTTCTGCCAGCAAAGGAAGGTGAGCTCTGGATGTCCCTTTTACCTCTGGCCTCTCTTCCCTAGGGCTGTGCCTGGCTGTCCCTGAGAAAACTGTGAGATGGTGCGCTGTGTCAGATCATGAGGCAGCTAAGTGCTCTGGTTTCCAAGACAATATGAAAAAAGTTTTTCCAGAAGATGGTCCCCTTGTCACCTGTGTCAAGAGAACCTCTTACCTGGAATGCATCAGGGCCATTTCAGTAAGTCATGGCTGCCTAAAAGAGAATAGAAGAAAGTCTATTGTTTCTTTTTGTTTCTTGTCTATGTTTGCTGTTGTTACTTTCTCCCACAGAAACCAGAACATGCTTTAGAGAAGAAACAAGGCAAAGATTTAAAAGTACAGGGACAGTGGCTGTAGAGAAAAAAGTAGCTACTCAACAGCCACTGGTAATAAAAGCCATAACAATTCTTCTTCCACATTGTGGCAGAGAAAGAAAAAAAAAGGTATAGTCATAATTATACTAAAGAGAAGGATTCAATCTCAGCAAGTACCTGCTGTGAATTAACGTCAGCATTATGTCGAAAGAGAAACTATAAAGACACAAAAATAAACAAGAAGCTCCAGTGTCACTATTATCAACTAAAGTTGTTTTTTAAAGGTCCAGTAATGCAAAAAGATAAGAAAAGCATATGGGGGTGGCACCTGTGGCTCAGTGGGCAGGGTGCTGGCCCCATATATCAAGGGTGGAGGGTTCAAACCTGGCCCAGGCCAAACTGCAACAAAAAAAATAGCCAGACATTGTAGTGGGTGCCTATAGTCCCAGCTACTCGGGAGGCTGAGGCAAGAGAATCCCCCAGGAGTTGGAGGTTACTGTGAGCTATATGATGCCACGGCACTCTACCAGGGGCGATAAAGTGAAACTCTGTCTCCACAAAAAAAAAAAAAAAAAAAAGAGAGAGAGAGAAAGAAAGAAAGAAAGAAATGCATATAGGATACAAAGGAACAAACAAAAATGTTTTCAGATGATTGCATACTTAGAAAGTACAGTGAAATCAAGAGAAATGTTGCTATAAATATTTATTAATGAACAGATTTATCTGGTTAAAAAAAAAACAAGGTATCACAATTAGTGTCATTTTCATGTGCCAAAAGTTGGTAATTGTGGGGAAATGTCCCCAAATTGTGATCTCATTTACATTTAAAATAATAAACAGGCCAGGCATGATAGCTTAAGACTATAATCCTGCAACTTGGGAGGCCAAAGTAGGAGGATCACGTGAGACTAGGAGCTCAAGACCAACCTTGGCAGCGCAGTGAGACCTCATCTTCTCTCCCCCCCAAATTAGCCAGGCATAATAGAATGTGCCTATAGTTCTAGCTACTTGTGAAGCCGAGGCAAGAGCATCACTTGAGCCCAGGAATTTGAGATTACAGTGAGCTGTGATCGTACCACTGCACTCTAGTGTGAATTACACAGCAAGACCCTATTTCAAAATAATAATAACAAAAAATGAAAAGAACATTTCTGAAAAAATATCATCTGAGAGGTCTCCAAGGCTGTTATATAAAACTCTATGACAAGTGAATAATATTTATTAACAAATGAAAACATACATACACTGTATTCCCAGATGGAAAGACTAAGCATAATGCATATGCATATCCTCCCAAAGTTAATTCATAAATTTAATGTAATTTTCGTCAAAATACAATCTTCCTAAAAGAATGAACAAAATAATTTTTTTAAGGGAAAGAACATGTATGAGATTATTAAATAGTATTATGAAAAAGAAAAGTAGGCTCAGCGCCTGTGGCTCAAGTGGCTAAGGTGCCAGCCACATATACCTAAGGTGGCGGGTTTGAATCCAGCCCAGGCCCGCCAAACAACAATGACGGCTGCAACCAAAAAATAGCTGGGAGTTGTGGCAGGTACCTGTAGTCCCGGCTACTTGGGAGGCTGAGGCAGGAGACTCGCTTTAGCCCAGGAGTTGGAGGTTGCTGTGAGCTGTGATGCCATAGCACTCTACCCAGGGGGACAGCTTGAGGCTCTGTCTCAAAAAAAAAAAAAAAAAAAAAGTAGCAAGGGAGTGGCTGAACCCTACCTGAAACTATACCATATTTAAATGACAATGTTATGGGCAGCGCCTGTGGCTCAAAGGAGTAAGGCGCCGGCCCCATATGCTAGAGGTGGCAGGTTCAAACCCAGCCCCAGCCAAAAAACTGCCAAAAAAAAAAAAAGACAGTGTTACAAAGGCAGGGTACTGGGACAGATAAGAAGACCCAAAAAAGAACAAAATTCAGGTGTATGGCCAGGCATGGCAGCTCATGCCTGTAATCCTAGCACTCTGGGAATCAGAGGCAGGAGGATCACTTGAGCTCAGGAGTTGGAGACCAGCCTGAGCAAGAGGGAGACCCTGGCTCTACTAAAAGTAGAAAATTTAAGCCCAGCTACTCAGGAGGCTGAGGCAGGAGAATCACTTGAGCCTAGGAGCTTGAGGTTGCTGTGAGTTAGGCTGATAGAGCTATACTCTAGCCAGGGCAAGGCTCTATCTCAAACCCCTCCCCCCCCAAATCAGATATATTCTCAACTTTCCATATATCTATCTATTTAATTATCTACATGATATGATATAGACACAAAGCATGATAAATATTCAACCTTAGGGCACTCGGGTCCTAGGCTTTATAAATTTAGGTAAGATACGTGTAGATTAATTTTTCTTAGTTAAATTTTTAAATTGACAAATAATTATATATGTTCATAGGCTATAATGTGGTGTTTGGTTACATATATACTAGATTTTTAAATATATATGTTATAGCAAACTTTCTAGGCTGAGAAATGATTCTTTGGTTGGACAACTGGGCAAGCAATTTAGAAAAAGAAAAATCAAGTGAAATTCTTTTTTTTGGAGGGCGGGGGACAAAGTCTCACTGTGCTGCCCCAGGCTAGAGTGCCAGGGTGTCAGCCCAGCTCACAGCAACCTCAAACTGCTGGGTTCAAACGATCCTCCTGCCTCAGCCTCCTGAAGTAGAATGAGGAAATCCAGATCTAAGAGAGCTAAATATGACTTCTTATGACTGGAAATATTCCCCAGTTCGTTCACTTATGTAGCCAACAAGCATTTATTGAATACCTACTTGTGCTGGGTCTTCTTCTAGGACCTGGGATTCCCCAGGCAATGAAACAGACAAAAATGCCCCTACAAAAATGTCCATGGAGCTTACACTCCAAAGGGGAGACAAACAATAAATAAAGACAGTCTGTCAGATGGTGGAGGAGGGCTCAGGAGGAAGTCAAAGTGGTATCCAGTTTCCCTGAGGTGGGAGTTTGAGGACTGTGGTCAGGGAAAGCCTCCCCTGGGGGCACCAATGTGAAGGAGGTAGGGGAGGCCACACCAGGCACGTCTCTGACACACCAGTGTCTTTGGGAGAGGGTTAGGGAGGTCTTCCTCAGGGGTGGCCAGCTTCATTCAGGATCTGGTCTCTTCTCTTTCAGGCAAATGAAGCAGATGCTGTGACCCTTGATGGAGGTTTGGTGTTCGAGGCAGGCCTGGCCCCCTACAACTTGAAGCCCATCCTGGCGGAATTCTATGGGTCAAAAGATGGTGTGTTCTCCCTAGGGACCCAGGTCTCTGGCCTGGCACTGCAGCTGTAGGGGGAGGCAGGGACTCTGGCAGCATTCCACTTGTGGGGACCTAAGTTGCAGGGCCCTTTATATTGAAGGAAGCTGTCTAAGATGCTAGCCTCCAAGGGCTGGGACGTGGGCTGTCCCCAGCAGCGGGGGCCTTTGAGCCCCTGATGGAATATGCTGCTGGTGCCCCTGGCAAAGAGGTATCCACAGCCTGAGAGCAGGAGTGTGCTCTCGAGCCCTCTGCTCATCCCTAGGGTTGCACCAATGGAAGACTCCACGCAAGACCCAACTGCCTCTTCCCTGCTGAGTGTCCAGCTCATGCCACAGAACACAGGCCTGAGTCTGTGGCGAGGTCGGGGCTTTGCCACCTTCCCATGCTATGCATGGGAGTCTTTAGTGTGAGCACAGCCCCACTCATGGTGATTCCAGCTTGTAGCACCCTGACATGTTCCCGGGAGGGCTTTGCCACCTTCCTGTGCTGTGCATGGGAGACATGAGTGTGAGCACAGCCCTGCTCACAGCGATTCCAGCTTGTTGCACCCTGACATGTTCCTGGGGACACCCCTGCATCTTTCCTCTCACATCTCTTCTGTCTTTGAGCTGTAGACAGAGAAGGAGAGAAGGGAGAAAAGCTCTGGGGAGAAGCCAAGCACCAGGTGGCTGGGAGCTGAAGCTCTCCCCAAATGTGCTCTGCTCAGTAGATCTTGTAATGGAAGGTGCGCTCGCCCCTTCTCCACGGGCTTGGCGGGACTAGCAGACAGAGAGCTATTGTCTTGAAAAGGGAGTTTTCTCACTCCTGTCAATTAAGGGCTTTTTTCCATTTCCCTTTTTGCCTGTTCACTAGAGGATGGTGCCTGTCCCAGGACCCCACAAAACTGTGCACTGTCCCTGCTCTGGAAGACAGCAGAGATGATGTGCCATCTTCCTTTGGCCCTTCTTTTTCTCTGCTCCTTTGCAGATGCACAAACCTACCACTATGTCGTTGCTGTGGTGAAGAAGGGCACCAACTTCCAGCTGAGCCAGCTCCGAGGCAAGAAGTCCTGTCACACGGGCCTGGGCTGGTCTGCTGGGTGGAACACCCCCATCAGGACACTGCTTCCCTCGGGCTCTCTTGAAGCAGGTGAGCCAGCTGGGACTCATCCTGCCGGTATCAAGTGCATGTGTTTTGTGGCTCCCGAGACCGGGCAGGGGTAACCTGCTTTAAATATGCTCTGACCGGGTGTGTGTGCTCTGCAGGGTGGGCAGCTGAGTCTTCTCTCAGCAAAGGTGCCTCTGTCTCTCTGAGAATCTGTCCTTCCTGGTAATCTCAGCAATATGGCTTGGCCAGGGCCATCACTGAGGCCCTTGAGAAAGGCCACCTGCCTCCCAGCTTCCCAGGAGAGCTCCCTGGGGACTCTAGCCCCATCGCAGGTGCTCAGACATCCATGCCTAGTGAGGGCATGGGACATAGGCAAGGCAGGCACAACTGGACCGGCACAGGATTTTTTGTATACACTAAGCTTTCTATTCAGTTATGACAAGCCATGGCAAGCCAAATCTCTCCATACTCTGCTAAAGTGCATTTATTTTTTTGAGCCCTGCCAGCCTCTGTAGCAGTCATGCCTGGATGTGACAGGGACAAGCAGCTCCAGGGTGTGATCAAGTGCTGCCATCTGGACCATGGCTCTGGCCATGTTTTGCCCCTTCTTGGAGTGCTCACTTGCCTTAGTATCATATGCTACTGGACATCCTCTGGGCAGTTAGCTGGTGGCTGTTGGCACACCCCGACCCCTCACCCACAAGCTGTCCCAAAGCTTTCCCAGAAGAGAGACCCCATGAGCCACCATAGCATCTACTGAGGGGGTGGGCCTGTGTCTTGAGGTCGGGAAGGGCTGTTGGGGGTTGGCTGACCTGCAAGGGCCACCGCTGTGTTCAGACCTCTGCCCTGCCCCCCAGAGCCTTTGGTTGATGAACTCACAGAGATGAGAGGCGCTGACGCTACGGTCCTGGTTGGGTGTAGGTCAGCGGCTCTCACATCCTGCAGCCACAGCTGGGGAAGCATTCTAGTGAGCTCGAGCCCTGGCCCACATGCAAGTGAGCTGCTTAAACACACAGGGGCCCTGGCCAACCAGGCCTGTGCACACCCACTTCTCAGACACTCCTGGGAAGAGTGTGCAGACTCACCGGCTCTGAGAGGGCTGCTCTTTTGTACACACGTGCGAGCTGGAGGCCCATCCGGCTCTGCATGAGGTCCACGTTTCTGTGTTGAGCAGCAGTGGCCAAGTTCTTCTCCAGCAGCTGCGTCCCCTGTGCGGATAAGAAGAAGTTCCCCAGCCTGTGTCAACTGTGTGCCGGGAAAGGGACAGACAAGTGTGCCTGCTCCTCCCGTGAACCGTACTTTGGCTACTCAGGCGCCTTCAAGTGAGTGAGAACCCCCGTTCCTTCTCACTCTAAAGTTGGGGAGGCAAAGCCACAGGGAGTGGACAGGGCCTGCCCCAGGCCACTCGGAGCATCAGAGTGAAACCCAGGTCCTGAGTGCCTCCCAGGGCCAGCCATCTTCTGTGTGGACCCCCACTGGTCCCCCAGAGTCTGGGGTCTGCCCATGTTACTCTTCTGGATCAGGGAGGGCTGAGGGGGCAGACTCATCTCTGGGGCTCTGCGGTCTGCAGACATAGGCCTGGGCTCTCTGCTGAGCACCTCCCTGTGCCCCCCTCTCCCACTTTCCTCTCAGTCCCTCGGGGTCACCTCTCCATACTCCATGCTCTGTAAGAGAAGTGGCTACTTCCCAAAACAAGATTGAAACTGGCTGGAAATCCAAGGTCATCCAAAGTCTTTCTTTCATGTAAAGGCTTTAAGCCTATGTTTTCTTTCTTTCTTTTTTAATATTTCGGGTTAATGTGAGGGTAGAACAACCAGGTCACAGTATTTTAATTTGTTAGGTAGAGTTCCTCTTGTAGTTGTGTCCCGCACCTCAAAGATGTGCTATACGTCCTTACGTCATGCCCATTAAATGGGAGCACACAAATCTCCCTCCTCTCCTCCGCCCCCTCCCTTGTTCCCCCTTCTTGAACTGAAATCAGTTTTTCTGGTATGAGGGCCTCTATTACATCGTCTACTGGCTTCACATTAGTATTGAGTACACCAGATATTTGCTTTTCCCTTCTCGTGATACTTTACTAAGAAGAATGTGTTTCAACTCCATCCAGATTAATACAAAAGATGTAAAGTCTCCACTTTTTTCTATGGCTGAATAGTATTCCATGGTATATATATAGTATTCCATATATATATATATATATATATATACATATATATATACCATAGTTTGTTAATCCATTCCTGGGCTGATGGGCATTTAGGTTGTTTCCACATCTTGGTAATTACAAATTGAGCTGTGATAAATAGTTTGGTGCAAATGTCCTTATGATAAGAGGATTTTTTTTTTCTTCTGGGTAGATGCCTAGTGATGGGATTGCATGGTCAAAGGGGAGGTCTAATTTGAGTTCTTTGAGGACTCTCCATACTTTCCAAAGAGATTATATTAGTTTGTATTCCCACCAGTAGTGTAAAAGTGTTCCCCTCTCTCCACATCTGTGCCAGCATCTGCAACTTAAACCTTGGTTTTCTTTATTAAAAAAAGAAAAAAAAAGATCTGTTGCTTTGGCTGCTTTTTAATAGGAGAGTGAGGGTTTTTCTTTCACACCATTCCTCCCCAGAGCTGCCTGGGTTGTTGGCTTCCAGGGTTCTTGTCTGCTTCTGGCCTGGGCTTGGCTGTGGGGTTCAAAGACCACAGAGATAGGGCATGACCTCAGTCAGGTCAGACTGGGACTGGGAACTCTGGGAAAGCTCTGTGAGCCAGTGGTCCGGGCAGACCCTCAGAAGGGCTTCAAGAGGGAAGGGCGAGGCCCAAGACATGTGAGGGGCTAACAGTGGCTCTCCTGTTCCTCAGGTGTCTGAAGGATGGTGTGGGGGACGTGTGCTTCGTGAGGCACCTGACAGTGTTTGGTGAGTGCTGGCAAAGACCACATGGGCCCCGCCCTAGCCAGGGTGAAGAGTTTCTCCTAGAGATGGGTGAATTTCTTTAATGCTGCAGGAGAGGCTTCTGTGCAGACACTCGGGTTACAGGAGTTCCTTTATCTGTGGTCTCCCTTTCTGAGGTCTCAGTTACCCTCAGTCCACTGCAGTCTGAAAATATTACATCACTACCCCTGTGCTTTGTGGCCATTACCAAGTAAAATAAGGATTACTTAAATATAAGCACTGCTGTCGATCTGGTCACAGACGCAGGTACAAAGTGACCAACGGGCAGGGAGAATTCACATCCTGGGGGGAGACGGAGCAGGATGGCATGAGATTTCATCATGCTACTCAGACGCATGCAGTTTAAAGCTAGGGAATTGTTTACTTCTGGATTTTCCATTTACATCATAATACTGCCTCCTTCACCTCACTTCCTTTCAAGGAGTAGGCATTTTATCATCTCACATCGTCACAAGAAGGGTGAGTGTAGGACAATAAGGTTAAAGAGAGAGAGACCACATTCATTTATCTTCTATCACAGTATATTATTATTATTCTTAGTTATAGTTGTAAATCTCCTACTGTGTCTAATTTATAAGTCACACTTCATCATAGCTGTGTATATATAGGAAAATACATAATTTTTATTGAATTTGTTACTCTTCCAGGTTTTAGGCATCTACTGGGGCTCTTGTAACATATCCTCCACAGAGAAGGGGAGACGTATTTGTACCTTGTTTAGTTTCCTGGTTTGTTTCATCTATAAATCTACTAAACAAATTATATGAAAATTTATGGCTTGACACCTGTGGGTGGCTAAGGTGCCAGCCACATACACCTAAGGTGGCGGGTTCAAATCCAGCCCGGGCCCGCCAAACAACAATGACGGCTGCAACCAACTTTATTGCCCTCAGTAGAGTGCCATGGTGTCACATAGCTTACAGCAACCTCCAACTCCTGGGCTTAGGCAATTCTCTTGCCTCAGCCTCCCGAGTAGCTGGGACTACAGGCACCCACCACAACACTTGGCTATTTTTTTGTTGCAGTTTGGCCGGGGTTAGGCTTGAACCCACCACCCTCGATATATGGGGCTGGCGCCCTACCCACTGAGCCACAGGCGCCGCCCAAGAGCAAGTTTTAATAATCAATTCTCTTAGTCATTAAAATATCAATTTCAAATTTAATCACATTCTTCTGAATCTTTCATTATGTCTTCTAGAAGCTTCAAACATGTTAAGAAAACATGCAAATTACTGTAACTATTTCAGTATATATTAGCACATCTACAATTGAATCTGATGCAAAAGCATTATTGCCATGAACAAAAATATATTTCTTCTTTATTTTTATATTTGGGGAAAAAACCCAAATCTTTCCAGAGTTTTGGACAATTTACCAGAAACAAACAAACAACCTAGTATTTCAGACAAGTTGCTGTTCCAGATTCTGGATTTTAAAACCAATTAAATTTCTATCAGATACAGAACACATTTGTACTGTTCAAACCGTCTAAAACCCAAATGTAAATTCATTTCACTAAGCCTTTTTTCTTTCTTTTTTTCTTTTTGATACAGAGTTTTATTTTGTCTCCCTGGGTAGAGTGAGTGCTGTGACATCATGATAGCTCATAGCAACCTCAAACTCTTGGGCTCAAGCTCTCTTCTTGCTTCAGCCTCCCTAGTAGCTGGGATACAGGCACCTGCCACAATGCCCAGCAAATATTTCCATTTTTAGTAGAGAAAGCCTTCTTATTCTTTCTTGGGCTGGTCTCGAACTCCTAAGTTTAGGCAATCCACCCATCTTGGCCTCCCAGAGTGTTAGGATTACAGGTGTAAGCCACTGTGCTCAGCCACTAAACTCATTTTCATAACAAATATCTGCTATCTCAAAGAGCATTCAGGTGCTCATTTGTACATAGATCTCAGCTTCTTGCAACCTAGTGTCTTTCTCTAATGTGGAATATGATTTCAGTGTCCTTTGTTCCCTTGTTCAGCATTGACAAATTACTATTTCTTTATTACACATTGACCTGATTTGTTAGCATTTTAGCAACTGATGCATGTGTTACTTTTTCTTGAGACAGAGTCTTACTATGTCACCCTCAGTAGAGTGCCATAGCATCACAGCTCACAGCAACCTCAAACTCTTAGGCTGAAGCAATTTTCTTGCCTCAGCCTCTCAAGTAGCTAAGACTACAGGTGCCCACCACAATGCTCAGCTAAATTTTTTTTTATTGTTGGGGATTCGTTGAGGGTACAAGATACCAGGTTACACTGATTGCATTTGTTAGGTAAAGTCCCTCCTATAGTTGTGTCTTGCCCCCAAAAGATGTGTCACACAGTGAGACCCCACCCCCTCTCTCTGCTCTTTCTTCCCCCCTTCCCTCTCTCTGCTCTTTCTTTCTCCCAGCCCCCTCCCTCCTTCTCTCTCTCTCTGCTCTTCCCTTCCTCCACCCCACCGTGTACTAAGTCATTAATTGTCCTCATATCAAGATTGAGTATATAGGATTCATCCTCCTCCATTCTTGTGAAGCTTTACTAGGAATAATGCTTTCCACTTCTATCCAGGTTAACACAAAGGATGTAAAGTCTCAATCTTTTTTAATGGCCGAGAGGTATTCCATGGTATACATATACCACAGATTGTTAATCCATCCTGGGTTGGTGGAGATTTAGGCTGTTTTCACATTTTGGTGATTGTAAATTGAGCTGTGATAAACAGTCTAGTGCAAGTGTCTTTATGGCAGAAGGATTTTTTCCTTCTGGGTAGAAGGCCAGTAATGGGATTGCAGGATCAAATAGGAGCTCTAGCCTGAGTTCTTTTGAGGGCTCTCTATATTTCCTTCCGAAAAAGTTGTATTAGTTTGCAGTCCCACCAGCAGTTTAAAAGTGTTCCTTTCTCTCCACATCCATGCCAGCATCTGCAGTTTTGAGATTTTGTGATGTGGGCCATTCTCATTGGGGTTAGATGGTATCTCAGGGTGGTTTTGATTTGCATTTCTCTAATAATTAGGGACGATGAACATTTTTTCATATGTTTGCCAGGGATTCATTTGTCTTCTTTAGAGAAGGTTCTACTCATGTCTCTTGCCCATTGATATATGAGATTGTTGACTTTTTCATGTGGATTAATTTGAGTTCTCTATAAATCCTAGTTATCAAGCTTTTGTCTGATTCAAAATATGCAAATATCCTTTCCCAGTGCATAGGTTGTCTATTTGCTTTGGTTGTTGTCTCCTTAGCTGTACAGAAGCTTTTCAGTTTCATTAAGTCCCATTTGTTTATTTCAGATATTTGTTGTTGTTGTTGTTGTTGTTGTCATTGTCGTTTAGCAGGCCCAGGCCAGGTTCAAACCTGCCAGCCCCAGTGTATGTGGCCAGCACCCCAACTACTGAGCTACAGGTGCTGAGCCTGATGCATGTCTTGTTATCAGTGATTTTAATTAGAGGGATCACCTACAGCATCTCATCTCCCATAATCAACTTGTTCCAAATAATTATTATGTCCTTCAGATGCTCGTGTTGCTGCAGTTATGCCAGTGGGAGAAGAGAAGATTGTCCCGGCCCATCCTGATTCACCTTGCCAACACTCACTTGCCTCCTCTTAGAGGGGATCATAGGTAGAGTTGAGGGAGGAAGAAGGGTCCTTAAAAAGGAGAGGAGGCCAGTCCAGGGATTGGAAAGGCTTCATTAGAAGAGAAAGGAGAGAAAAAAGAGCAGAATGCAGTCTGATGAGGAGCCAGATCAGCTTTCACACAGTTGTTAGGAAGCTTTTATTATCCTTTATCAGTGTGGTTGAATGTGGGTGGGGAGTTCCCAGAGGGAGTCCATCTCTTCTGTAGAGGGACTAAATTTTGCACTCACATCACAGTGGCTGCCAGCTGGGGCCAGAGTAAAAGTTACTGTTCTGTTGTTTGCCTGGAACAATGGCCTTGAAGCCATTCTAGGAGATGGGCAGGGGGGTTGCTGTGGTCATACAGTTTGGTTCCTAGCCTCCGGCTTTTTCTCATCAGCTGTCTCCTAAAATGGCTGCACCCTTGTTAGGGCTATAAGGATTTCTTATCTACACTACTCTGTAAGATCCTTTTTAGGTAAATTTTATGAGGGACCATGCTCTGGGCCTTAGGGTGACAAAGGGAGTGTGTAGAGAGCCACAGTCTCCCTGCTGCTGCCACTGCCAGGCCCTTGAGTGTCTGAAGTAGAAAAGTTATTTCTTTCTTAAGCCATTAGGTCATACTGATTCATTTAATCTAATGCTAACTTTACTAAGCCATTTGAATATTTTTCTTTTAATGTAAAGATTTAAAATGTATTTTCTCTATGGCATACTGAATTAAAATTGTAACCACTTATAGGAACCGTAATTATACTGTTCTTTCAATATGAGACTTTAACAAGACCAAAGACCTATATGAGTTTGTTAGAACTGTTGTAACAAAATACCACAGACTGCATGGTGTAAGCAACAGAAATTTACTGTCTCATAGTTCTGGAGGCTGGAAATCTGCATCAGGGTGTTGGCAGGGTTCATTCCTGCTGAGGTCTGTGAGGCAGAATCTGTGCTGAGCTTGTGTGTCCTAGTTTCTGAAGATCTGTGGGTAAAATTGGTGTTCTTTGACCTGTAGACTCATCATCACAATCTCTGCCTTCATGTCCACATGGGATTCTCCCTGTGTGCACGTCTGTGTCCAAATTTCCCCTCTTTATAAGGACACCAGTCATACTGGATTAGAGGCCTACCCTATTCCAGTATAACCTCATCTTAGCTAATTATGTCTGCAGGGACCCTACTTCCAAGTAAGGTATTCTGCTGTACTGGGGCTTAGGAATTTAGCATATGAAATTCTTGAACCCATAACTCTTTCTAATGCCTATATGATGGGAACCAAAGAGCCTGCTGTCCTCAGAGGGCCATTTTGGTCCTTTTTTGTACCTGCAGAGTGCTCTGACTAGGCCTCTAGGCCTCCTTCCATCCCTTGATCCTTGTGCTACCTTCCCTCCCCAGGCTCGCTCTTGGGGGAGTGTGGCCTCTTTAGAGGGGGGTCCTCGGCTATGCTGGGATGGCAGGGTGTCTTCCTCAGACTTGCGGAGGTACCGAGTCACTTTAGGTCTCTAGGTCTCAGTTTCCGCATTGGTAGAATGAAATAATCCTGGTATTGGCCTTGCAGTTGCTGTGAGAGTGAAACGAGACAGCCTGGAGAGCCCTCAGCGGCCTCTGGTGGCCACAGTGCTCAGTGCACCGGTGCTGTCACGGTCCCATTAGCAGAGCCACAGGGGAGCCGGGTGGGTGGAGGGCCCTGAGCCAGACTGCAAGCCAGGCATTTCACTCTGGAGGCCTCTGGTCCTTATCTGTATAAAATGGGTTTGGGAAAGATTCTCTCTCAGTCCTCTCAGGTCATAGCGAGGAGGGGCTCATCTTAACGATGGCTCATGGCTCTTCCGGGCTCCCCCACACAGAGAACCTGGCACTCAAGGCTGACAGGGACCAGTATGAGCTGCTCTGCCTGGACAACACCCGGAAGCCAGTGGATGAATACAAGAACTGCCACTTGGCCAAGGTCCCTTCTCATGCTGTTGTGGCTCGAAGTGTGGACGGCAGGGAGGACTTGATCTGGGAGCTTCTCACCCGGGCCCAGGTATCCTGCACGCTGCCCTCTCTGCCTGCAAGTGCTACCTGCTTAGATTTTCCTTGTTAGCTTTCTTGCCATTCCAGAAGTCCTTATGGGTTAGAATACCTGATCTGCTTCACTGACAGACCAGAGCTCAGTGTATGACACTGGGGACAAACTAACTCAGTCTGGTTGTATTACAGAGCAGAGGCCATCAAACCCGCGTGTGGCTTCACCAACCCCGCGGAATGGCTGTCTGCAGAAGCTCCTCTCGCCCAGTTTATTCTTTCCACTCTAAATGCATCCTCAGCACACAGCTCAGATGCCCCCTCTTCCTCCAGCACGTGCTTCCCTGTTCTCCCACAGCCCGTGATCACAGAGGCCCTCCTAACTCTGCTCACAGCAGAACCAGGCTGTGAGCATTCTCTCTCTGTGTGGCATTTGTTGGTAGCAGTCTCCCCCAGTCAGGCCCCTTTATCTCTCTGCTCAGCACTGAGGGATTCAGAGATGAAGTAGACAAAGCCTTACCCCTAAGTCACTCATAGATGAGTGTGGGAGACATCCAGATTCTCACCAGATGGAATCACACAACCTTGGGGACACGGATTGTGTCATTTGTGGAGGATGGAGAGACTGGTTTGCAGGTGTACCTGGGAAGATTTCTGTCAGCCCCGGGGAGTAAGCTGTGTGCGCCCTGGGAAGTGTGAGAGTTTGCCACACAGGGCAGCAGGTGCCACTTCATACAGAGCCACAGCAGAAGTCACAACTAGACAGACATTTGGAGGAGCATGTGGGTAGGTACCGCTGTGAGCCACATCAGGAGTGGCTCTGGGCCAGCCAGCTGCAGTCATAGGCAAAGGGCCCATTGTTTTTGTGGAGGCCAGAAAGAGGAAGAGGCTGTGTGATGTCCCATAGCTAGACATCCATTGGCAGGTCTGGAGTGGGGGAACAGAAGCCCAGGAGGCCTGACTTCCAGCCCAATGTGCTGGATCACCAGCCCTTTCAAGGTGCAGACCACCAGTAGCCTCTCAATGGCAGCCAATAGCTAGGGTGAGGCCACCTTCACTGACTGCCACGTGGAAACACAGAGTACTAGCCACCTTGGAGAGGAACAGGTAGGCAGGTGCCTGGTACACAGTGACCCCTCAGCCCTTTGTACAAATGTGAGGACAGCTCCTGGCAGTTTCCTTGCAGGCACATAAGGCAGGCAGGTGGGGCAGGGAGATCTGAGTAAATCATTTCATGGAGAGACTGGAGAACATGGGTAGCCATGGAGATGCTGAGGACCCTGGTGACTGTTGTCGCTCTGAGACGCTCTTGTGTCTTACTCTCTGTCTGTCATCTTGGGTTGGGTTTGGTTTACCCAGCGTGCCTCCATCCTTCACTGTTTCCTTTATCCTTTAAACAGGAACGTTTTGGAAAGGACAAGTCAGCAGAATTTCAGCTCTTTGGGTCTCCTCTTGGGAAAGATCTGCTATTTACTGATGCTTCCCATGGCTTGGTAAAGGTCCCACCCAGGATGGATGCCAGGTTGTACCTAGGATATGAGCATTTTCCTGAAACTCAGTGTCTACACACAGGTACTTGTGAGATCCTGGGAGGGACCTGGCTGGCTTGGGCAGCAGGGCAGGTGGGCCATCACCTGAGGCTCTCTGGGTGCCTGCGAGCCCCGCCCACTCCCTGCTGAGCCCAAGGGAGCCACTAACTGTGTTGGGGCTCATGAGGGTTTTCTGCCAAATTTGGAGAAAGGCCTAAACTGTGTTTACAACATGGTTTTGAGGACCTTCATATTATAGATCATCTGCTGTAATGATGGCTCTGGTTCCTTTGTTAACTGGGTTCATCCCAGCCAGAACAGAGAAAATAGTCTGAGCTAAACTGAGGTGGGGACGTGGTACCACCTCCATCAGGAGCAGAGCCAGGATTCCAGAGGAGTTTTGTCTGGCTCTCGCCTTCCACAGATCACTATGGTCCATTCCTTCCTTCCTTCTTCTATTTTGTCTCCTCCACTTAGTCAACCAATAGTTACTAGGCATTTATCACAGGGCAGCCACTGCATTAGGCACGGGAGTAAGGGGGGGGGGGCAAGCAGACCCACCCAGAACTGAAAACATGGCCACTAACTGGGGCATGCTGCCAGGACAGGGACCAGTCCTGCAAGAGTACAAGAGAAAGCCCTGAGCTGGGCTGGCTCCCAGAGAGGCTTCCCTGGAGAGGTGGTACCGGAGGAGGTGAGGTCAGGTGCGAAGGAGTAGCTGTGTCTTCACTGCTCTTTCTAACAAGTTGTCACACGGCTGCTGTCCCTCAGGGCCCTGCTGGGCAGCCACCCTGCAGCCAGGGGCACCAACCTCCAGACCCACCCAACTTCCTTTGGATCTCTAGATTCCCACAAGGTGCGGTGGTGCGCAGTGGGCCATCAGGAGAAGGCCAAGTGTGACAACTGGAGTGCGGTGAGCGGTGGTGCCCTAGAGTGCACCCTGGAGGAGAGTTCTGAGGACTGCATTGCTGCCATCACGGTAGGAGGGCCCTGCTTCCATGGGGGCTCAGACACTCACACACACAGCGCTTCTCCAAGTCTGGCATTGGAGACTGTCTTCTTAGAGGTCCCCTCATCAGCCTCTGTCCTAACATGCTCTTCTTAGGAGCTTCCTCCATTGCACTCGCCCCATAGACCTCTACAGCTGAGGGCAGGTGGGAACACAGAGTCAGCCAAAAACCCAGACTCCTCGAGGGCTCAGCTCTGGAGTGGGAGCTTGGAGGGGCATCCTGCCTGGGAGCCATGGGAAGTGGGGTGACATTCTAGGGTATGGGAAGTGGGGTGACAAATCTATAGGGTATGGTCAGGGCCACTGTGGATTGTGAAAGCAGCTCAACATTTTTAGTCTTTAAATTGTAGGTTAAATTTTTTTCCAGTTATAAAAAATTACATTAAATAAACCAGTAAAAATAAAATCATTTGTAACTTCACTCAGACATCATCAAAACATAATTTTTGAGTGATAAATTTGTGTTGGTATTAACTTTCCATTTCTCTGTGAGCAGATACTATTTTTGTGTCTAGGACAAAGCAAACTTTTAAGTAAAAGAGAAAAACTGACAAACTTAAAAGATTATACATTATATAACAGTTTTTTTGTTTGTTTGTTTTGAGACAGAGTCTCAAGCTGTCACCCTAGATAGAGTGCCTTGCTGTCACAGCTCACAGCAACCTAAAACTCTCGGGCTTAAGCCAGTGGTTCTCAATGTGTGGGTCATGACCCCTTTATAACAATGAAAATACATAGCGGCGTTAGGAAGGTTGAGAACCACTGGCTTAAGCAATTCTCTTGCCTCAGCCTCCCAAGTAGCTGGGACTACTAGTGCCTGCCACAACACTGCTTTTTTTTTTTTTTGGTTATATTTGTCATTGTTGTTTGGCAGGCCCTGGCTGGATTTGAACCCACCAGCTCTGGTGTATGTGACTGGCACCCTAGCTACTTGAGCTACAGGCACCAAGCCAACAGTTGTTTTTTCTTTTAATGTCAGATTTTGGTAAATCTCCCTGGCACCTTAAGATTAAGATTTGATGCTTATAACAATTTCCTAAAGTTGTCAATTGTAAGGATTAAATGAATTTGAGTGCTTATAACATTGCCTAGTGTAAGCAAGCAGTCAATAAGTATTAGCTATAGTTATTATTACTTTAAATTTTGAGCAAATTGGGGTACTTTTTCAGCTAATGAAACATTTATTTAGGATACATATTTAATGGCTGCATAATATTCCACCAATTATTTTGACCTCAATTTATTTAGGCAATTTCTGAGTGTCTACATTTGAGTTATTTTCAAATTCTTTGCTATTATAGATAAAGTGGTAGTGAAAATCATTATGTTTATAACTGCCTGTATTTATGAGTATATCTTTAATATTAATGATAGCTAATATTTCTGGAATTACTATGTGCCACACATGTATATGAGCTCTTAACTTGCAATACTCATTTAATCTTCATGATAATCCTATGAGGTATCATAGATTTTGGTAATTTGTGTCTACATTGCTGTTATGTTTGAGGAATTTAACGATTTCCTCTTTTCTCTCTTCCTATACCCAACTATCATTCAGCATAAGATTATTTAATTTCCAAGTCTTTATGTGGGGATGAATATTTTTATTAGAGTTGAGTTCCACCTTTATTGCCGTGTAGTCTGAGAAAATATCCGGTATAGTTTCTATTTTTTTAATTTGCTGAGGTTTGATTTATATTCTAGGATGTGGTTGATTTTGGATATGTACTATGGGCTAACAAGAAAAATGTATATTCTTTAGCTTTGGGATGAGGCGTTCTGTTTAGATCTATTAATCCCATTTGTTCTAGGGTCACTTCTAAGTCCTTTGTATCTTTGTTTAGTTTTTGTTTAGAGGATCTGTCCAGTACTGTCTGAGGGGTATTAAAGTACCCTAGCTATTATGGTGTTATGGGATATCATATTGCTCAGACCCATCAAGGTCTGTTTCCTAAATCTGGGAGCATTCGATTAGGTGCATAAATATTTAAAATTGAAATGTATTCTTGTATTATTGTTTTGACCAGTATAAATTCTCTATCTTTGTCTTTCTTAACTTTAGTTGCTTTAAATCCACTTATATCTGAAAATAAGATTGCAACCCCTCCTTTCTTCTGATTTCCATTGCTTGAAATACTGTTTTCCATCCTTTAACCCTGAGTCTTGATTTGTCCTTCAAGGCTAGATGTGTCTCCTGGAGACAACATATAGATGGCTTGTACTTTTTTTTATCCAATCAGCTAGCCTTTGCCTCTTCGGTGGTGAATTTAGTCCATTCACATTTGTTGAGAGAATAGATAAGTGTGGTGGAGTTCTATTCATCTTATTTTGTGAAAGTCCTTGATGTAGTTTTATCCTTTGCACCACTGTGGAAGCTAAGTTTTGACCTTTAGCTTCTGGGTGTTTACATTGCTGGTGGTCCATTGTGGTGGTCAGTGATGAGAATAGGTCTAAGTATTTCATGTAGAGCTGGTCTTAATGTGGCAAATTTCCTCAGTGCTTCTATAGCCACAATAGATTTGATTTTTCTATCAATTTTAAAGCTTAGTTTAGCAGGATACAGAGTTCTGGGCTGAAAATTGTTTTGTTTGAGAATGTTGAAGGTGGATGACCTGCTCTTTTGGCTTGGAAAATTTCAGTTGAAAAGTCTATTATCATCCTAATGGCTCTGCCTTTGTAGGTCAGTTGGCGCTTACTCTTGGCTGCTTACAGAATTTTTTCTTTCATCTTGACTTTGGGCAAGTTCATTACAATGTGTCTTGGAGAGGCTCTGTTTGAGCAATGTGTCTGAGAAGAGTGTGTTAGGATCTTTAGTAAAACTTGGGAAGTTTTCATTTATGATAGTCTGTAGTAGGGCTTCCATTCCTTTGGGACAATCTTCTTCCCATTCAGGAATCCCTATTAGTTGTGTATTTGAATGCTTCAGGGAGTCTCATGGTTCTCTGAGAACTTGTTCTGCTTTCTCTCTCTTCCTTTCTGCCTCTTTAACTACCTGGGTTAACTAAAAAACTTTATCCTTTAGCACTAAGGTTTTTTCTTCTCCATGGTTTAACCTATTTTTGATACTTTCTACTACGTCTTTACATTCCCTGATTGTTGCCTTCATTTCCTTAAGTTCCACCATATCCTTTCTGTATTCTACATATCTCTCGTCCAATTTTTGGGTCTATCTTTCCATTTTCTCATCCATTCCTTTTATTGTCTTTATCATCCATATTTTAGATTCCCTTCCTTTCAAATCCATAATTCTTTATAGGTGGAGTCTTCTGTAATAGCTGTCTTATAGTCCCTTGGGGGAGCCCCTATGTTTTGGTTTTTCATGTTGCCTAAATTTTTCTGTTGGCTCCTCGTCTTGTATTCTTTCTTCATGTTCACCTCCTTGTCCTCCTTTTTCCTTCTCATTGCCTTCTTTGCTTCAAATTACCTTGTCTCAGAGCTTAGATCTTGAAGTGGCTTCAGCCTGAGCAAAGCCAAACTCTTCCTCTTGGCCAAATAAACAGAAGTCCTTGCTTTTAGGACAATATATTGCAGTATGTCATTGGGACATCAGGTGTTGCTGTGGATCATTTAGGAGACATAGAGCACAGCCAGCAACCTCTATGGTTCTTATTTCAAACTTAGTTGCCTTCAGTGATTGCCTCATTGTTACCTCTGCATTCAGACCCTGCTGGGTTGGGATCTTAAAGCTCACAAGAATCCTTCAGGGGCAGGTCTCACAGTGCCCCCTGTTTCCAGTTCCCGTGGGGTGCAGGAGTTCCTCAGTCTGTGCCAAGAGTAGAGTTCTGATCCTAGCAGGCAGAATTAAGACGGCCATGCTTTAAATCCCTGCTAAGACCTTGTCTCGACCTTCCTACAATGGCAGCCCCCTAGTTGCTGAGACCATCTCAATATGGCTGCCTCACCAGCTACCAAACCTATAGCAAATCCACTCCACCAGCATTCAAATCTGGCTGTTGTATACCATTCAAGTCCACCCACTCTTCCAAGCTTTCCACTTAACATTCAGCTTCCCCAACAGCTGAAAACTCTGGAAAGGCTTTCTCCCATTCCAGGCTTCTGTGGGGGGCCAGCTGGTTGCAATCACTTGCCTAATTCATGAGATTTTCACTGCTCCGGATTATACGCTGTATCCACCTTACCACCTCCTTGCTGTGTTCCCTGAGCTATGATTCTCTGGGTAAGGTCCCAGTGCCAGGTATGGCTGTGTTCTCTCTTTTTCCCCAGTCGTTCTAAGAGAGCTCAGCTGAACGATCCTTCTAGTCTGCCATCTTGCTCTGCCTCCTGAGGAGTTAATATTTAAAAAAATGTTCTATTACAAATTAATATGAGGGTATAGATGTTTAGGTTATGTTCTTTTCATTTCTGAGGTAAAATTGTAGTTGAGCCCTTCACACAGGGGGTATGCTAAACACCTTCAGATTATGCACTGTAGGTGAGATCCTACCCATTTCCCTTCCTCCTCCCCTCCTCCATCTCATCTCCTCCCCCTTGCTACTCTATATTTGTGTTTCTCTGTAAAGTATCTCCAGAATGGAAAAAATATCCAATGTACTCAATACTAATATGAAACCAATATATAAACAACTACACACCCACATGAAAGAAAAGTTAATCATTAACTAATTATTTAGAAAAATTAATTATTTATTGAAAATCTTTGTTGTTCTGGGGCACTGACTACAGTCTTAGTGCAATTATGGGTCAAATTTTAACTCCAGCATCTGGAAGAAAATGCATTCCATAGAAACAGATTAAATATATTCCCTGAGTCTGGCTCTATAGATCCTGGAGTTGAATGACCATGTCACAAAAGTGTGGTGATGGCATGTCCAGGACTCAGCGTGGATCTCATGAGAGAACACAAATATGTCCAGGGAGTGTGATCTGGGTTGGGTTCTTGTTCTTAGGTCAACAGGCCAAAAGCATGTCCAGTTTTCTAAATCTTGTGTTTACATGGTGGAAGCTTTGGATGATTCATGATATAGTTAATCATGAGGACATGATGGGAAGCCATTAAGATGGAATGCTCTGAGGGCCAGATAGGAGACAGCCGTGCTGTGATGCTGTGATGCTATTCATTTGTTTCTTAACTTTAGATAGGAGAAGCTGATGCCGTGAGCTTAGATGGAGGATTCATCTACACGGCAGGCAAGTGTGGTTTGGTGCCTGTCCTGGCAGAGAACTATGGTAAGTGGAAGGGAATGCCTTTCTGTTTTATTCCACCTAGGCCATGGACATAGGTAATGAAATAATTTAGTTCAGTGTTGAGATAATAACTATTGTTGGGAGTTGTAGATAAAATCCCCTTTGCCCTGAGTCAGAACCAATTAAAATGTAGATGCAGAAGTTAGGCAGAAAGAGATCAAAATAACACCTTTATGTCTGAGATAGTGATACTGGAGGGTACAGTGTAGAGCTGCCATAGGGCTTGCCAAATTGCTTGTGTTAGAGTTGCCACTGATTCAGGAGAATTACCCCACGACTGAGGGAAAAGGCAAGCACATTTTGTTATAAATGAGATCTAAATCACCCTTTCCCTACTCTCTTCAATAATGAAAGATGGGGCTGAGCCACATGTGCTTAGATCCTTTTGCCAAATTTAGTGTCATTAACTCATTCCAGCTACACTGAGTGGTTGAGGGGGTGAGGCTGCAAGGTCATTTTCTTTAGTTAGGATCCAACCGCATGGAAAAATGTAGCCAGGGCAGAAGAGGATTTCCCTAATGTCATTTATGACCCCTCATCAGCTACATTATCCTTAAAGCAAAACAAAAACCAACTCTGTGAAGTAAATAGTGGTATCTTTATTTTACAGATGTAAGACCTGAGCCTTAGGAAAGTCAAGTGATATGACCAAGATAGAATAAAGACTGAATCCAGATCTTTCTGACTCCACAAACTGGATACTTCCCCTCCAACACAGCAAGAATATAATGATTACCTTCCGCAGGCTAGGACTCCGAAGGGAAGAAAAACATCAGACTGACTTACACAGCTGATCCAAGAGGGTCTTTGCCAAGATCTGCAACAGCCTCTGACCCCACGTCCTTCAGTGGGGATCTCATTTTCTTTCTCTGTATCTGCTTGAGTATTAAGGAGATTCCAGGATGGAATCTAATGTTCAAATAGCAAAAAGCAGAGGGAGAGGAGATAAAATGGGCCTGCAGAACCTGCTGGTAGCCAGTGACAAACTGCTTAGTTAGTGCTTCTTCTCATTATATTCTTGACCAGTGAGAAGACTGAGGCTCACGTCTTTGGGCGGAGAAATATGAGACTTTAATGCCACGTATCTAGATTGTTTCTGTTTTTCCTTTTAGAGCCTACACATGGCGGCGAGAAGCGTGGGTCTAGTTGTGTGAATACACCCGTGGAAGGTGAGTCACCATCAGCAATACTGGGGCTCAAAGGTAAAGGCTCATTGTTGGGGGAGAGGGTGAGGAGAGCCTAACAAACAAACAAAAATTACTGGAGGTGAGGGTGGGGGAAAAAAAGAAGCAACAGTTGTTAAGATGCAAATCTGTCCCGAAGCTGTAATGGTATCTGTAGGGTACTTTACAGCTAACTGAGGGTTCCTGCTCGCAGGTTCCCATTTACTCTTCTCAGAAACCCTGTAGGATGTGGGCATTACTGTTCCAGGTTAAGAAGGTGGGAAGGTGAGGCTCAGGGACTGTGTGACTTGCCCACGGCCACACAGCCAGGAGGTGGCTGCCGCTGGGCTTGAGAAGAGGCAGGGTGACTAGAAAGCTGAGTCCTTGTTGCACGTGACACTGTGCCTTGACACCTGCTGCTGCCCATCACTGTGTGAAGGTCCTCACCAGGGCGAGAGCTCATCCCTGGCATTTCTGGAGCTGAGTAGAGGCTTCCCGAGAGGAGATTCATAGACTCCGCTGAGGAAGCTGAGGAAGAAAATGAGGTCGCCCCTTTATCTTTAGCCGGCTAGAACTTGATAGCAGGGGAGTTGACCTTGTCTTTAGATAGACCACAACTAGGGGCAAGTTCTCTCACCTTGTGTCTCCAGACAGGCAGAGAGGGTCTGTCTGTGTCTTTTCCTGAAGTACCGAATCCTAGAACATGGATAGACAGTGAGTCTCATGTGTGGTCTCTGGACCAGCAGCATCAGCGTCACCTGGGAATTGGTCGTGAATGAAAATCCTTGGGCTCCAAAATCAGACCTGTTGAGTTAGGAACTCTGAGGAGGGAGCTAGCAGTCTGTGTTTTAACAGATGTAATGCACATTAAGGTTTGAAAAGCACTGTGATAGGGGATCCTGGGGTGAAAACCAGGTGGTCACTTGTGCTTGGGATTCTTTTTTTTTTTTTTTTTTTTGAGACAGAGCCTCAAGCTGTCCCCCTGGGTAGAGTGCCATGGCATCACGCTCACAGCAACCTCCAACTCCTGGGCTCAAGCGAGTCTCCTGCCTCCGCCTCCCAAGTAGCTGGGACCACAGGCGCCCGCCACAACGCCGGCTAGTTTTTTGGTTGCCGCCGTCATTGTTGTTTGGCGGGTCCGGGCTGGGGATTCGAACCCGCTACCTTAGTTGTACGTGGCTGGCGCCTTAGCTGGTTGAGCTATACACGCCGAGCCTGTGCTTGGGATTCTTAAGAGGCAGGAGAGCTGGAAGGTAAAGGGTTTGCAGCACCACAGCGCAAGGAGTATCCTGTGATCTTGGTGTCTCCCAAGCACTGGGTCACAGAGGTCCCGCACCACCCACCCTCTCTACAAAGGCCGCTGGAGCAGCACGTCCCTGCTCACCTCTAGCAGCTCCCCTTCTTTTGTGATGGAACCCAAGCCCTGAGGTACACTGGACCTCACCCCTCTGGTTTTACAGCTAAGAATTCTCTCTGAACTGTGTCTCCAACCCTAATTCTAAGGGCCAGCTTTTCATCTGCCATGTATTCTGTCCTGATCGCATATAGTCAGGAACAACCCTAAGTGCTTTAAGAGTAGTTGGAATGTCTAAGAACTACAATGATATGCAAATGTAGATTGCTAGCAGCATGGCTGACTGAGAAATTGCGTATGTGTGGGGAGGTGTGTGTGTGGTGGTGGTGAGCCACATTATCTTCTAATTCTAAAGATTTATGATTTTAATCTTACTATCAATTCCAGTTTGCAGTTCATATTTTACTCAAAAGCACACTTTTGTGCTATTTTATAACATTGGTATAGGAATAAATAAAATATTAAGGGTATTCTCATTAGAATTAGGGAAAAAGCAAGAATACTCTCTTCCATCAAAGGTATCTGACATTATTTTGGAAAGAATGGAGTAAGAAAAATAACCAGGTTTTTTTAATCTTGGGGAAGGAAAGAGAGATTAAATTATTATTAGTAGACAATATTATGGTAAACCTAGAAAAATCAGAGACAGCATTAAAAAAGAAGTCATTAAAGCTCTTTCCTTTGAACTTCTATTCAACAGAAATACTTAAGCATGTGCACACTCGTATACAAAATGCTCTCTATAGATAAATGGTCTGGAGAAGGGCAAAGATGGATCACAGTGTAAATCCACCAGTAGGCACGTGATCAAATATCATACATCTATACAATGGAATGTAACTTAGATTCAACCAATAACAGAATAAGATAGCCGTATCTATAAAGGTGTCCATGATATAGTATTGAGGAGGAATAAAGCAACTTGCAGAGAAGAATGCATAGCAGATTCTTCTGGAAGAGTACAGCATGTACGTAAATAC